ACCAAAGAAACCATATCTTATTCAGACAAAGTCTTGAAATTCACACCATCCAAAGATAGCCTTTGGCTTGACTTTTCCTTGAAGTGCATTTCAAAAAATCCCCGAAATGCCTCCTTGAGAGCTATAGGATCAGAATGACGCTCACTGTTCACCACTACAGATCGCACCATGTTCCGCATCCGCCGCTTGTTAATGCAAGCATGGTAGAAACTTGTATTAGCATCTCCTTCACGTAACCATCGCAATCTAGATTTCTGAAACAATAGACTTTCTTTTTGTGACAACAGATGAAAGGTTTTAGCACGCCACTCCCTTTTAAGCTGAATGTCCACATCACATAGAATTCCTTCTTCTGACTTAAGATCCAAATAGTGAGCGAGCCGACTAGCCTCCTCAATTTGTGTATCCAGTTGGTCGAATGATTGTTTATTCCAAACCCGCAAAATATTTTTCAATCCTTTTAACTTTTCCTTCAATACAAAAGCCACTCTCCCATCTACTTGTAGATTTTGCCATTGCTCCTTAACAAAATCACCAAACCCAGATTCGCATCTCCAACAGTCAAGGACTCTAAAAGGTTTCGGTCCCCAGTCAATAAATTCATCTAAGTTATAAAATTAAATTGTTTTGAAAAATAATCAAATCAAGATCGGAAGAAGGTGCTTTAAAAGATGATTTTTCTTTTTCTTTTTCTTCCACATGAAGTACCATGGATGGTCCTCCATCACCATGGCAGGTCATTACAAGATACATATTTGAAAGAAGTGAAAATTAAATCTTATTGGGTTCGTGTAACAATAACCAAATGTCCTTGCCAAGAAGTGCAACATTGACTTTCCTAGCTATATGAATGGATAAACCTCCTATATTTCTTGGTCTCACAATGGTATTCCAATTGACCTAGTGCCTCAAGGATAAGCCCAAAAAAAAAAAGATCTTGTAACTCTATCAATCTCCTTGCACACGCCAGTATAGGAAACACAAATTTTGCATTGGGTAGATAGGGATGAAATTAAGAACTGACTTAACCAAAGTAATCCTCCCTACATGACTGAGAATTTTAGATTTCTAGCCAGCAAGTAGACTATTGATGCGTTCCACCACAAAGGCAAAATCATTTTTCTTAACTCTTATTGTGAGGAGTGGAAAACCTAGATATTTGTCCAAATTCACATGGTGAGAAAAGCCAATGATGCTCATGAAATTATCTACTTTAACCCTTGAAATATTATTAGAAATCAAAAACTTGGATTTTTGAATATTCATATTGAGACCAAAGACTTTACAAAAATCACCGAGAACTTGTTGCACCAAATGAACTTGAGAAGTTTTTACACCAGTGAAAAGCAAACAATCATACGCAAAGAATAAATGTGATACTTGTGGCCTTTGCCTGAAAAATCTTAATAGGCTACCAAGTATTATCATTCACCTTTTGTTGAATCATCAAAACCAATTTTTTCATACAAAGGATGAACAAATATGACAAAAAGGATCTTTCTGTCGTAACCCTCTATTTGGATGAAAGCTCTAAAGAATTTCATTATTCCACATGATGGACAAAGTAGATGATGTAAGTTTCATGATAATTTTAATAATTGGTAGAGAAAACCCAAACTCATACAAAGTAAGCTCTAGAAATTCCCAACTAACACAATCATATGCTTTTTCAAAATCATCTTTAAACAAAATATGACCCGATTTTCCTATTTTTTCATTATATATATATATATATATATAACATAAATTGATTAGTTTACATCCATCTTTAATATGTTATAGGTCATTTTTTTTGTCAACTCAATATTTTTTTGTAGATAAATAAATTTTTATGTGAATATGTTGATGCAAAGGAGCATTTAAATCTTCAGTAATAAGGATTTAGTGTTGCAAGAAACAATTAAAGAAGACTATAAATTTATTTTTGTTTGACTTTTATGAATTAAACACTTTCACAAAGTGATTGTTAAGCAACAAACTCATATGTTAAGTCAATGATTTTACATAATGGAAAGATTTACATAAATTTTATGACGTGCAACAATTTTTTTAATGTTAAACTTTCAAAATTGGTTGATTATATTTTTGTAAATTTGACAATCGAATTCATAAATTATCCATGCCTTAAAAACTCATTTTCCAACAAACTTAACTAAATCTTAATAGGTATTTGGGACATATAATTCATAAGATCAATTGAATATAAACATTTTTACACCATTTTACTCTTTAGTAATTCATAATGAAAATATTTAATTAAACAAAAAAACAACAATAAACATAACTTAAATTTTTTTTTTTTCATTTTTATATTATATATATATAAATTTAATTTCTAACATAATAATAAGTTTTTACCATGCATCACATGGGTCAAAATCTAGTTAAATATAAAGATAAAAGTGTGATATATAATTAATTAATTAATTTTTTTTCTTAATGCAAACTTTCATAAGTGTTAATGTAAAATTATAAATAGAGATTATTTTTATTTTTTTCCCCCTTATCTCAAACTTATTTAATTATCTTTTTCATTTTTTAAATTTGAAATAAAATCATTAACTTTTCCTTCTCTATTGCAACTCTACAAGTTTGTTTGTGATGTGTTAGTATTATTGACCTATCTTTAAATAGTGCTATTCAGGAATAACTCATATTTTCATAACACTATACTATATGTTTAGTCATTTTCTTTTAGCAATTATATGTTTAATTAATTGTGTATTTTATACTTTTTAGATCTAAGAATCAAGACATAAGTGATATTTAAATAATTATAACCACATTATTTTTTCGCTTTGTATAAAGCATAAAAAAAAAATTCAAACCAGTATTTTACCATCTATTTTACAGTATTATCCCTGACTTAGTGAGTAGTGACTACTTTCCAAACTATTGTATATTAATTATCCGTATTATTGTATCTCATGCAGTCATTCATCCATCATAAGATTTATTTCTCCCTACAATATTTAATTTAACTTGTTATCTTGTTAGTTATTTATTGCACGATACTTACATTGTGTTTTCGTAGAAAGTGAAATGACATGGAAAAAATGAGTCAAAGAGATGAAATACGTGTTTCTATGTACAGGTACTGATTTATCTTTTGTATGTGTTTTCTTTGCATTAAAAGAAACACTAAATTTTAAGCTGATACATCTCTATATATAATATATCATATCATATCTATATAAAGAAGGCTCGTATAAACGAGGAATCTTGGAAGGGACAAATATGATTTCTCTGCATATCTATATCACTGCTATTATTTAGCTTCTGCTGCCATAGTGGACAGTGCCACGATCCCTTTGCTCAGTGGATGATATCAGATAAGCATGAGGCGTATGAAAGGAAGCTTTATATTATGATTTTTCAATTTAGACCTGTACCCAGTGCTGTTTTTGGCACTTTTATATATATATGTACACTGGAATATATCAAATTTTTTAAGTAAAATTTTGTGTTTGAGTTTCTGAAATAAAAGAATTTAGTCAATCAAATTTATTGTAAATATCGATGGTTAACAAAATTGATAAATATTTAAGATAATTATATATATTATCTGATTGCACACTTTGGAAAGATTAGGACATCCATGTTCGAAATCTAGAAGTGAAGCAGAAAAGTAGTTGGCTTAATGGTAGAAATGGGTCCTAAGTAGTGAGTCCACTACCCAAAACAAAGGAAGGAATTCCCAGAAATGGGACCACCATGTCTTCCAATTCTACCATAGACCCTGCCAATATTAGCTTCCTGCCATCCACCAATTTCGATTGGTCACAAAATACAATTTTAGGTAAATATAAAAAAGATTCAAACTGGTCCACATTTGGAGAGAGAGACATCGAAGAGATCAATATGATGGATCCCAACATAACATGGTCTCAAAAGAAGAATCCATGGCTTTGCCTTTTCCTTTTCACGTTACGGTGTAAAGTGATACTAAGGGTTAAAAGAAGCACTGAGGTCAGATGAGCCTCCTTGTAGAACACTGTGCCTTTTTTAAAGTTTAATAAACATGTATAGTATAGCTAAAATCAAATTAAAAAAAAATAGTATGATTTTCAGGATACATATAAGTTATCCACATACAGAAAGTTTTTAATTTTTTGAAAATCAGACGCTGGAAATATTAATTTCCATGTTTAATTTATTTTTTTTAAACTGAGAAATAATGTTTTGTCCTTCATAATAATTTTTATATAGATTTTCACGAAACTATTTTCATTGATGGAAAAGCTAACATTTTCAAATTATAAATATTTATCACAAATCAAACATATTTTCTATTATTATTATTATGAATTATGATTCTTAAATATGAAAGAATTTATGATATAATAAATGTTGCTTATAGTAAATATATTAAGAGCAACTTTAATGGAAGTTTTTTGTCATTGGAAGGTTCTGACGTGGCAATATGAGTTGTTTGAAGAAGAGAGAGAGTTGCTTCCTGAAGCAACCGTTCCTTATTAGATTTTGGGAACGTTTCTGAAATAATAATGATGAAAATTAATTTCATATAACATTTATGTATTTACTATTACTTTATTTTATTTTTAATATCTATTTATTGTATATTTTTTCTCGTAATTTATTATCTTTCATTATAGTGCAATTATCCTTTTTAATAATAATTTAAATTTGGTTTATAAATGATTAGGAAAAAATTTTTAAAAATTTAATTTATTAAAGTTTCTTACCATCGAAGTAAATTTGTGTTTAAGTTACTTAATACTAACATGACACACTAGAGACCACTTTTTCTATTTTTCAACGTGTGAAGCAACTCAATGAGTTGCTTTAATAAGATGCCCTAAAAATATGATAATAATAATTTTATTAATTAATAGTGTAAAACTATCTTACACTCACTATTTATAATCATTAAACCCAAAAAATTTATACTATGATTTGTAGATGATAATATAGTATTGTACTTTTATTTTTATGAAATGAAGCTAACTAGAAAGAAAGAAAGAAAGGGGTCCAGGGGACCAATGGTATCCACCTAAAAAGAAATTAAACTGTTGGAGTTTATGAGCTGACCTAGGTTACTTTCCTTCATCCTCATTATTCGATCATGAAGATTGTCTCGTTCATTACATCTATGCATAGTCTGAGTTGGCTGCCACTCAATTCATATATTGTATATTATTTTTCTTTCTTCGAATTTTCATTTTCATTTTCATTTTTATTTTTGGGAAGACGGGCTGACTAGGATTGGGAACTAAGATTTACTTTCTCAAAACCCCAGAAAAGGAAAATTGAACATATGTTTCTTAGATTTACTTTCTCAATTCAGCTTGTTGGGATCTAGATGTATTGATTGGGCTGGTGATGACCTGATGGGTACAACATCATCTAACCATGTTCTTTAAAATTTAGAGTTCAATACTTTTAATTTCATCCCCTTTTCCTTTTTCATCTATATGCATTTTTTTAAAATCATTCGTGACGTAATTTGCGGAGAAGGACGTTAATCGATCTAAAAGATGATTCCTAGCTTCATCTTCTGATTGAGAGTATCAAACTTGAAAACAACTTTTTTCTTTATGATTCCTTGATTTAAATGAATGATGCGCTCAACTTTAGGACATGCCAAAGTGAACTACTTTAATGTGTTTTGATCACTAGCATGAATTGATAATAGTTTTCTCTTTTCATCGCGTGAACCGAGTTATCAAACATCAAAGGTTCGAATTGTCTGAATGATATGAACAGGGTATCAAAAGTAGACCTCTTTCAAGTTGCTCAGAAGTTTCTTTCTCCATAATTATGCATAAAGTTATTCATATCTGATATTCATATCTGATATTCATACATGCGTTGTTACACAATAATGTTTTCACCCCATCAACTATTTTATCACACCATTCTCTTCATTGCAACACAAACATTATATAAATAAAATTTCTGTTAGACTCTTGGAGATATGCCTTTTTTCTACAAAATCATTCAGGTGTCCTTATTCAATAATTTTAGCCTATGTAATAAATGGCTTATGACATAGTACGGGAGCTTCTATGACATATATATACAGAGAGTTTAATATTCTTTTATTATTTGTTATATTTTAAAATATAAATTAAGTTTCAGTGATGACACCCCACCACATTCTCTTTTTCAAAAACCAGAAATAAAAAAATAAAGGTACACTCAGCATGCACATTGTATCAATTTATTCTTGCCCATGATTGGTATCTATAATATGGTCTAAGATTATATCCTTTCATCCAAATCTGATTCATCAGCTTCCCTGGTGGACTCGGTTTGTTAATAAACAAAAAAAAAACAAAGGAAAAGCTAAAGGCAGTGGTGCTACTAGGCTCAAAAACCGACAGAACACAAATAAAAGAAAATTTAACTGGGTTATGAAACGGTCCATGGTTAAACATTTCTATCCAAACACTGCTTTTGCTTTTGCTTTTTAAAAGCTAAAGATGACACCAAAGTAGTGTGTATGTGTGTGTGTTTGTGTGGGAGAAAAGAAGAGAGGGAAAAGAGAAGAGGACATAGGATGCTGCAACACTGTTACCTCTGAGCTCCTTAACATTACATACACTCACACAACACTCTCTCTCTATCTCACTATCGCCTACTTCATATTCATATTCACTTATTCCGTAGAATAACTCTATGATATTCCATCTGCACAACCTTAACCTCTAAGCTAGTTATCCCACAAATGGGAACTCCAACTCCAACTCCAACAACAACAACAACTCTTAGCCTTGTACTTATTCTCCTCCTTTTGTGCTTAGTATGGCCTTGTTCTTCTGCTTCTTCTCTTCCCATGTCTCTTAGAAGGCAAGCCTCTATCTTGGTTTCCCTTAAGCAAGATTTTGAGGCCAACACTGAATCCTTGAGCACATGGGACATGTCTAACTACATGTCCGTTTGCACTTGGAAGGGCATTGAGTGTGACCAAAAGAACAGGTCAGTGGTGTCATTGGACATATCCAACCTCAACCTTTCTGGCACACTTTCACCAGCCATCACAGGACTCAGGAGCCTTGTGAGTCTTTCACTTGAAGGGAATGGCTTCTCGGGAGGGTTTCCTAGTGATGTTCACAGGCTAGAAGGGTTGAGATTCCTCAACATATCTGTCAACATGTTCAGTGGGGGCATGAGTTGGGAATTCTCTCATTTGAGAGAGCTTGAGGTGCTTGATGCTTATGACAATGAGTTCAATTGCTCACTCCCTCTTGGTGTGATTGAGCTACCTAAGCTTAATTCCTTGAATTTTGGCGGGAATTATTTTTATGGTGAAATCCCTCCAAGTTATGGAGACATGGTGCAGCTCAACTTTCTGTCTCTTGCAGGGAATGATTTGAGGGGGGTCATACCAGCTGAGCTTGGAAACCTCACTAACCTGACACAGCTTTTCTTGGGATACTATAATCAGTTTGATGGTGGAATCCCTCCTCAGTTTGGTAAGTTGGTTAATTTGGTTCATCTTGACCTTGCAAACTGTGGCTTGACAGGTACAATTCCACCTGAGTTGGGAAACCTCAAGAAATTGGACACTCTCTTTTTGCAAACTAACCAGCTCAGTGGCTCAATCCCTCCCCAAATTGGCAACATGAGTGGCCTCAAGTGTCTTGATCTATCAAACAATGAGCTAACAGGAGACATTCCAAATGAGTTCTCAGGCCTTCATGAGCTCACCCTCTTAAACCTGTTCATCAACAGGTTGCATGGTGAAATTCCACCTTTCATTGCTGAGCTACCGAAGTTGGAAGTGTTGAAGCTTTGGCAGAACAACTTCACAGGTACAATTCCTTCTAAGCTTGGCCAGAATGGTAAGTTGGCTGAGCTTGACCTGTCAACAAACAAGCTCACTGGATTAGTGCCTAAATCTCTATGCCTTGGAAGGAGACTGAGGATTTTGATCCTTCTCAACAATTTTCTCTTTGGATCTTTACCTGCTGATCTTGGCCAATGCTACTCCCTCCAAAGAGTTCGTTTGGGGCAGAACTACTTGACAGGACCAATACCAAATGGTTTCCTCTACTTGCCTGAACTGTCCCTTTTGGAATTACAGAACAATTACCTCAGTGGTTGGCTTCCACAAGAAACAAGCACTACACCCTCCAAACTTGGACAGTTGAATCTATCAAACAACCGCTTATCAGGGTCTCTACCAGCCTCCATTGGAAACTTCCCCAACATGCAAATTCTGCTGCTTCATGGAAACAGAATCTCAGGAGAAATCCCTCCAGATATAGGGAGGTTGAAAAATATACTCAAATTGGATATGAGTGTCAACAACTTTTCAGGCAGCATTCCTCCTGAGATAGGTAACTGTTTGTTGCTCACGTATTTAGATTTGAGCCAAAACCAACTATCAGGCCCTATTCCGGTTCAGGTTTCCCAAATTCACATTCTAAACTATCTCAATGTCTCATGGAACCACCTAAACCAAAGTCTCCCCAAGGAACTTGGGGCCATCAAGGGCTTGACTTCAGCAGATTTTTCTCACAATGACTTCTCTGGCTCAATACCAGAGGAGGGGCAATTCTCAGTGTTTAACTATACATCCTTCATGGGAAATCCTCAGCTCTGTGGATATGAGTTGAATCCATGTAACCATTCTTCAAATGCAGTGTTGGAGTCTCAAGACAGTGGCAGTGCAAAACCTGGAGTTCCAGGTAAGTACAAGCTTCTCTTTGCAGTGGCACTTTTGGCTTGTTCATTGGCATTTGCAACCTTGGCCTTTATCAAGAGCAGAAAGCAAAGGAGGCACTCCAATTCATGGAAGCTCACAGCATTTCAGAATCTGGAGTATGGAAGTGAAGACATCATAGGGTGCATAAAGGAAAGCAATGTCATAGGAAGGGGAGGGGCTGGTGTTGTATACCATGGAACCATGCCTAATGGAGAGCAAGTAGCTGTGAAGAAGCTTTTGGGAATCAACAAAGGGTGTTCTCATGATAATGGCCTCTCTGCAGAAATAAGGACGCTGGGAAGGATCAGGCACAGGTACATTGTGAGGTTGCTGGCATTTTGCTCAAATAGAGAGACCAATTTACTTGTTTATGAGTACATGACAAATGGAAGCTTGGGAGAGGTTTTGCATGGGAAAAGGGGAGAGTTTCTCAAGTGGGATACTAGGCTGAAAATAGCAATAGAAGCTGCAAAAGGGCTTTGCTATCTGCATCATGATTGCTCCCCTCTCATAATCCACAGAGATGTTAAGTCAAACAACATATTGTTGAACTCTGAATTTGAGGCTCATGTTGCTGATTTTGGACTTGCCAAGTTCTTGCAAGATACTGGGACATCAGAGTGTATGTCTTCCATTGCTGGTTCTTATGGTTACATAGCTCCAGGTACTTAATTTTAATATTTAAGTATATAAGTCAGTTAGTCTACAAAATCATAACTACTTCAAGTAGATTTTCATTGACTACACTACACACTAAATTCAAGTAGATTTTATGTTCATGGGATATCATTGTCTAGATCATTGTTTTGACCAAGTGAAATGATTCGGGAGAAGGTTTTTCTTTTCTTTTTTTTTTTGGATAATGACATCACTGAGATTTGAACTTAAAATTTTGTATTAATTACTCAAACTCCTCGCTACTAGATTGACTCTAATATATTTTTAAGGTAAAGGATATAAACAGAGATGATTACCTCAGGCCCATTTAACAATCAAACATTCTAGCAAGAAAGTCAATGGGAATTGAATTAACATGCTTTTCTGTTTGCTTGTTTGTTTGTTTTTAGCAGAAAAAAAAAAGTATTTTCTCTCTTTTACGTTTTTGCCACTGTAGCATTCACTTGCTATTTTCTGGGACCACCATGTCCCTCATGTACGTGAATTTCTAGATTGGGTGAAGGCTCCACTAACACAAAGGAAAATTCTTTCAATCTTTAATACTTTGCTTTTCCTCACCTTAACTGGGCTTGTGCTTTTGCATGCCTTGAAACCATAAACCCGTAGTATTCAAACCAAAACAAAATCACAAATAATCCTTTTTTGACCGACACCAACCCACTATCATATCTATAACAGCCACCAAATGCACATTAACCGAAAGCATATGCTTCTTCCAATTGAGGTCTAAGATTTGCTTTCTCAAAACCCCAGAAAAAGAAAATTGAAACAATTTAGAGGCACAATGCACCACTAGCTTATCTTTTTCCAAATTCAATTTGTTTACTTGAAAATTAAAAATAAAGTTTTTCCCTTGTATGTCTATAAAACTATTAATGAGTCAGTCTTTTCATCATCATCACCATCATCATAATCATCATTAGTACTATTATTATATACTCATACACTTTCCCCATCTATGACATCTATTGTACTGTCATAGCCACAAAGACATACACAACAACTTTAACTTTTGAGCTAAAATGTGAAAGCTAACTATTATTGTGTACTGATTTTGATTTATATGATGACAGAATATGCATACACATTAAAAGTTGATGAGAAAAGTGATGTGTATAGCTTTGGAGTGGTGCTGCTAGAACTATTGACTGGAAGAAGACCAGTAGGGAATTTTGGTGAAGAGGGACTAGACATAGTTCAATGGACCAAGTTGCAAACAAATTGGAGCAAAGACAGAGTGGTTAAGATTCTTGATGAGAGGCTATGTCACATTCCCTTAGATGAAGCAAAGCAGGTATACTTTGTGGCCATGCTGTGTGTTCAGGAACAAAGCGTGGAAAGACCAACCATGAGGGAAGTGGTGGAAATGCTTGCACAAGCAAAGCAACCAAACGCATTTCAAAAGCAGTGATCTACTACCAAAGAACCAAAGGAAAAGTTAAAGAACAAATAAAGAAAAAAAGCTGAGTCTACACATGTGCCTTGCATGTGTTGATGTTGTCGGTTGGTAAAGATGTCAATTTTCCTAACTAGTTTGTCATTTGAGTTTTAAAGGGGGTTTTGTTTTTGTTGTTTTTTTTTCTTTTCCCTTTGTTAATTAACACTTAGATGTGGGAACAAGTGACATGCATATGTTGTAGGCATAGTGGGGAATTTACTATAGTTGGAGAATGATGGTAAAGGTGAAAGGAATTAATGTTGATAGTACCTGAGAAGTCTTTGTACAATACATGGGGATTGGAGTTAGATTCCTTGGCTTTCGTTTACTACTTGCTTGTAATATTTCAGGAATTATTTGATATTTATCACCTACATAATCAAATCTATAACATGTCAGATCAGAGTACAATTTTCTTTTTACCTCTGCTTTACCATAATTCAAGTGTTCTTGTGGGGTATGCTAAAATTTTTGAAAATAGATTTTGCATTTTGACATAATTTAATAGCATGTATTCTCACACAGTTTAATTGAGCAATGTCTTGAAGATTTATCTTATTTGAATCCACATTTATAATTTCGATGCATCACCATACAGTAAAAAAAAATATACAGAAAAGAGACAGAGAGAGAGAGAGAAACTCAAAAAAGTGTTTCATACATGAGACAGAATTGGCCAATTGAACCGAATAAATCCGAAATCAGTTGATCCATTTAAATTAGTTTTTTGCTGGGTTGTTCATGGAATCAAATATGTTCATGTACAAAATTTTTAAGACTGTCGTATCTTTTAATTTTTCCTTTGGCAGAATGATTTTATCTTTTTAATAACACTTCTCTTTCGTTATTTTTATTTAACTTTTTTTTTCTGCTTATAGTATTTTATAAGAACAGTTCGGTTAAGGTTTATTTTTTCTTTCTAAAATTGGTTTTTATTGTCTTAAAATAGATAGGTTATTCGCTTTATATTTCTCTAATATATTACTAGCGAAAAAAATATTTTGTGCCTTGTTAATGTTTTGGAATGAAGAAGTTATGTTAATATTTTGGGATGAGGAAGTTAAAAAAATAATGAATTTCATTTAAGTTAATAAAATAAAATTATTGAATTGTTTTCTACTTAAAAAAAATTGAATCAAACCATAATAAATAAAAGATAAAAATATCTTAAAAATTATGTATGTAAAAAGGATGAAATGTTTTTATATATGGTTATAAATTCAATTTTATTAAAATTAGTAATATATTGTAGTCATATATTGATAAGTGTCTATTGTACTTAAAATGTTTGATCATTTTAACACTTATCTAACTTGAATTAAAATGTTTCTTTTTATTTAATCCCTGTAAATTTAGGAAGAATCAAAAAGTTGTACAAGTTAATACTTTGTAAACAGTTGATGAAGTGTTATTTATAAAAGTTTTGGGTGTATATCTTGCAGGTATCAAAAAAGATCAAAAGTTTCAAAACATATTCAAAATCACTTAGTCATTTGTAAAGGATTGAACCGTTTAGAAGTAAAGAGAAAGAATTGGAGAAAACTCAAAACCATTCAATCGTTTGGAAAAGGTTGAGCGATTTGGATCCAAAGAGGATTTAAAAACTGACTCTCAGACGCTCAGTGAATTCAAAGTGGCTCAACCCTTGAAGTTGTTTCATCTTGAAAAGTTCTTTAAACTACTCAGTCGTTTAGAAAAGATTGAGCGATTTACTCTCTCTCCTTCATACTCTATTTTATTTTGCTACACATACATAAAGACAATAGATACAAAATAGAGGAGATAGAGAGAACAGATGAGGGTAAAAATAACAAAGCTTATGAGAAGTCTACGAACCAACTGGGAGTAGGGGTTCTAAGGATTTTATTTTCTTCTTCTACTATTTCTCCATGTATTCTGGATTGGTTTTCACTACCATGAGTGACTAATCCTTTTATTTTATTAGGATTAAATGTATATCATCAAACTCTTATGTACTCCTTTTAATTTATATATATGATATTATATTATTCAGTGTTAATGATTTGGATTATGTTCTTACTATTAAGGTGAGTTGATCACTCATCTTTGATCTTTGACTTGAATTTTGGTTGGGGAAACATTTTCTAAATCTAGTTTTGAATCAAATCACCTAACTACTATAATGACTAGGAATAGATTTAGAATTGTTGGTTGAATAAGTTTTTAAACTTGGTGCAAGGTTTCTACGTTGATAAATAGAGGAATCATTTATTGAGTTTGAATCTTTAGAATTTTTAAATCCAAGAAATTGATTTGGAATGATATTAAAGAACTCAATAACATTGGATGATAAAAATTGTACATAGATGTCTTAAGAGCACATAAAGATGAGATCAATGAAATTTAATCTCAACAACTTTACCAGTTGTTATCTTCTTATGTTACTACCATTTTGTTTAAAGCTTTTTATAATTCCATTGTTGAAATCTAAACAAGTCATGTTTATAATATCTGTGAATTTTTTCTATTTTAAGCTTTTACTAGGACATCATAAATTGTAAGTATCTTTCAAGTCCCTAAGGTTCAACAACCTGTATTTAATTCTTATACTTTAGTGGCTTTGTGCATTTACCATAAAATCTCATCATATATTTTTAAAAATAAGTTGGTAGTTTCTATTTTAAAAATGTAGTTATTATTTTGTATATGCATTTTTTCCTATTTTATCCTTAGATATATTGACAAAAAAAATTAAATACAAATATAGAAATATAATTGTCTTTGAAAAGTGAACATCAATAACCCTTTTATATATTGTTATAGATATAAAATCAAAATGTAATGACCCGGAAGGTCCTACACTTACTATAGTGCAGTTACAATACATTGGAAATATTAAACAACATATAATTAACCTAAAGTTATAATGTCAACATTTATCAGGTCAATTATATAATATACACATCTATATGACATTAAGTAAAACAACTGAAAACATATATTCCGTCTTAGGGTTGTACATCTACCATATTCATGTGTATCATTCACAAAATTACACAATCATAACAAATCTTGCTAATTTTATGGGGCTTCTATACTTATACCAAGTACGACCATTGCAGTTCCAATCATAAGGAAAAAGAAAAGGTAAACTTGTGAAAAGAAACAACATACACCAACAACAATGGGTAGTAATTTAAAGTAGTTTAAACAAGAAGGTCCATCAACCATGCATCTTCAACTTGTCATCAAGTACAACACAAACAACTTACAACAAATATAACTTATCAAATTCAGCTGAATAATATATTCAACATAAGCAAACTATAAACAACTATTGTATCATCATGCGTATCAACTATGGAGATCTTATACAACAGAGGTGAACAATTTAAGTGATCGGACTTTACCTAACCACAATGTTTGACTTATCACAACCAGGTAAGGTATAAACAACTTCAGACCTCTCAGAGAACCTATTTAACAATTTAATTTGATTTATCAAGTTTTGTTACTTAAACTATAAAGCATAGTACAATTGTGAGGGCAAAATAGTTTGGGTATGAGCCTACTGTGACATTAGCTTGCAATACTAAGTCTCCTAGGGGATTAACCCATTGACTACCCTCTAAATACCATGTCTTTCCAATACTCAATTAGGGATTAAAATCTTGACCTTATACTTTATTCGATTGATCACTTTATACATGTATGTCTCGACCTTACTCACAAGCAGATTCCACATGCAAACTATAAAAGACAACTTAAAAATAATTACATATTCAAAAGTCAACTTACTTACTAAAGGGTTTTAAGTGGACTTTCAAAGCATCACAACTTATATTCATATAATGAGATATTTTAATTTTTAAAACATCATTTACTCCCCTATAATTTTTTATATATCACAATAAAGACATATACATTTTTTACCACAACTTACTTAGCATCATGTTTTAAATCAAGCAACTCGCGGCTAACGTCATCCTTTAGGCGCCCAACATCATTGAGGCAAGAGACTTCCTGTCTCACCACGTTTGGTGTCAAACTACCTATGCCTAATGTCAAACTACTTATGTCGGGTGTGGCTGAGTTAGAGAGCCTCCCACTCTCTCGTGCATAGCATGACAAAACCCACGCTTGACCCCAAATAAAGTAAAGGGTCTTGACTTGATCCACGCCCGACACCACTCCTTTGACACTTGACGTGATTTCAACCCAAGACGATTCTCTCTTCTCACACCTAATGCCACTAATTATGCGCTCGACACAAGCAAGACAAAACCCACTTGTTGAAGTCGCGTTCGACCTGTTATTAGTTTTGCACTGTATAGAAACTAAATTATTGCCCAATCTACCTGAAACTCGGTCAAAAATCACATGCAACAAAGTATACAACATATAGACAACATGAGAAACACAATTCCATCATCAATTACAACATGCACTCATTATAAGCTAAGAATCATCAAATTCTTCTCACTCATAACTTCAAGAACTTCAACGTCTTTTCTACCCATCACATGAGTTCAATCAATATCAATTGCATTCTAAATGATTAAACAACAACAATTAGCATGCATCTAGAATTTTTCTAAACACACAACTTCCCTTACCTTCGGTAGCTCTGAAGAGAAGGGAAGAAGAAGAAAAACAAGAAAATCCCCATTTGACTCACAACTCGAATTCTCGACTTCCAAACTTTGAATTCAACGATCTATAATCATTGTCTGACAGAGGGAATAAACTATAAGAGATTAGCTAGAGAATAAAAAGAAGGAAGTTCCTCAATTTCCTAGAGCTTATCTCACTAACCTCGCACTAGCTTTCCAGAAAACATAAATTTCTAAGTTTCACATATTAACAAAAACCTTATATATCATTCCTTAAGTTAGACCCACTCGACTATGCCTAAGACATCCTAAATCTTAGAGTTCTAAAACAACATTTTCATAACAATACAATAATGTTTAATCACCTAGTCAAATTAAAACATTTAAACTCACAGTAATTCATAAATTGCTTCATAAAAGTGGTTTAGTTAATTGAACAAATTTTTTAAAATGATCCCATCTAATTTTTCTCAAAATATTCAATTTCTATAATTTGATTAAATTCAATTTTAGATGGTTCGATTTTTCCAACACTTCTAGTTATTTATATAATTGATACAATAATTATTGAATCAATCTAGAATCAAGCAAATAAGAAAAAATAGATATATATTTTTTTTTTTCGTTTCTAGACATAGTTGCTACAAATATATATATATAATTGTCTGTTATTGAACTTAAAACATTATTACATTTGATTTAGTTTAATATTTAATTTTAAATATTATATGTTATACCAACAAGCTATTAATTCAGTGAATTTAAATTCGATTCTTTTGAAAAAAATATCGGATTCGAATTTTGTATAAAAAAAAAATCATTAGAAAACACCTAATT